TAAATGGAGCTTCAGTTTCCTGGCAAATCACCCCACTGCTGAAACAGGGGCCAATCTGGGGGCGAAATCGCACGGGGAGGATGAGCGAGGCCGAAGGAGACGCTGGATCAGTCCCAATGCCGGAACGCGGACCCGGCAGGGCAAGGGATAAGGCAGGGATGTGCCCTGGCTTTGCCCGCGCTCTGAATGCACTGAAAAGCCTAAACCTCGTGGCTGGGAATACAAAAAGCTGCCTTAGTGCGGGTTCAAGGTGACACAGTTTTTGCTGGAGCATCACAAGCCCTCCGAAAGCGCGGGGCGCTCGCGCACGCATCCCGGCGCCGCAGCATCCTCCGGCGGCGACGGACACGTCCCTTGGGGTCCCCTCGTCGTCCTCACTCGCCAGCGTGGGCGAGCAGAGTGAGTCGGAGCTCCTTGTGCAAAAGTAGCTTCCAAAAAGTCAGGAGTTGCCTGGAAAAACTGGGCTTCCCGGCTGCAAGAAACAGCCGTATGCACCCAACACCCAGCTGGGTCCATCGCTAACATGGTAATAAGGGGAAAAGCAAAATGCTGGAAACATGAACCCCCCCGGATCAGCGAAAGCCTCGCAGTCAGCAAGAAGAACAGCAGCTCTCGAGTTTGTGGCAAGTTGAAAGTGGGATTGAATCATTACTTGAAGAAGAAGAACGTGTTTCTATGTCTATAAATAAAGCCCTGCGAGGCACGTAGCCAAAGCAGCACAAGTCAATATAGCTTTTCTATATGCGCTGTCAAACTTCACTTTTAGACAGTATATTAATTACCAAGTCAATAATTGTGGGTTTCATTAGTGTATTAAATACCTCGATCAATAATATTTATACTTCTCAGAGACTGTCCTCACCAAAAAGAAATAGGGAGGAGTGTTTTTTGAGCCTGCAGTTCAAAAAGTCAGCGCAGCACCAGCAAGGCTTTAATGGAAAACATAAACCACCAGAAACAGACAAAAATTGGATTATTGCTCTTATTTTTCAGGCTTTTGTACAATAAGCCACGAGGGAATTCCAAGAGCTAAACCAATGGCAAAAAAATTAGATTTCCTCCTCTTAATTGCACGACGGCGACGGCACGCTGGACACGACGGACGTCACGTCTTTAATTTGCAAAGGGAAGGATCCGAGCGGCTGCGGTCGGTCTGTCCGGCAAACTTTCTGATGACAAAATCTCCGAGCAAAGAACCTATTTCTGGTGGATCCCCCGCAGAGCAGAATGACTTTAAAGGTGCCTTTCCCGTAACCATCCCGGCAAAGCGCAGCCCTGTGCGGAGCTACGGCCCTCGTGTCATTACAGCCCTCGCCAAATTCACCCGAGCTAAGTCCAAGCACTGAATGCATCAAGCACGAGAAAAGGAGATCAGGAGATTTATTTTTTTTCAAAGCCGTATTGAAATGCTGCCCATGCCTCCTGAAAGGACAAGAGGTTTGGGGCAGGGGGAAGGGAGAGGAAAATTTTTCCTTTGGAAATACGCAGTTTGCTTTACGTAACCCACCCGAGCAGCCATAGATGGGGAAGGAAAAAGCACGGTGCTACAGGCAGCCTGCAAGCCCTCCCAACGGCATGCTTTTGGCATGGCAGGAAGGCTGGATTTAACAACAAATCAATGCTCTCTGAAGAGGGAAAATAAAAACAAACACCTTCCCCTCCACCCCAAACACAGACACCTAAGTACTCAAACACAGCACGCAGCAAAATGCACAACAGTCCTCACCAAAATCCCATCTGGTGATGCAAGCCACTTTGTGTATATATATACACAAATATATATGCGAGTGTGTGTGCGAATGAACTATAATATAACATGAAAAACAGGCTGAAAAGCTGCCACAAGGTCTCTAGGCCTTTTGCCTGCTCACAGATAATAAATTAAACAGACTTTCTCCTCCCTCTAATAAAATTGGTGATAGTTACTGCCCCGCTATAATATTTATAAGGTGTAACGTGCTGCAGAGCGCTCCTTTCTGCAAATGCAGCCTCGAAGCAGAGGGACGATTCGCTCTGTTAGAACTGGGGTCTGATCCATGTTGTATTTTCACAAACCTCTCGTGTGAAAACGATGTCAAGTTCCTATTCGAATCCCTTTAGGGGCAAATGATTGTCCTGGGCAGGAGGTGCCGCCTCCACCAGCCGGAGCGCAGCGGGGAAGGAGCCATCGGAGAGGAGGATTTTCCTCAAATCTGCTAATTTTGGGGCTGGGAAACAAGAGATCCGAAGGGAAGGCCGGGTGACCAAGCAGCACATGGACGAACAGCGCAGCTTCTGCCCCCGACAAGATGTTCCGCTGCATCTCGGGCAGCGAACGCAAATACCACGAGTATTAAGAAGCAAAACAGGAGACTCATCAAGTTACACTCGCGCTCCCGTCGCACTAAAAGGACAATCCGCTCATGCGGGAGCCCACACACACACACACTCATCCAAGCTGCCAGGCGGAGCTGCCCAGAGCGCTCGGCTCATCCCTGCGAGCAGTTCGCTCACCTAAAAAAAGGAAGGAAAAAAAAAACATTAAGAGCTCTTGGACTATTTTACTGCTCAACACTTTATTTGGGGGAGAAATAAACACAAGCAACACACTGACGCATCTTAAAAATGAGATCTGACTCAAGTTCAACCTCCCCTCCAGAGACTGGTAAAGGTCACTAACAATTAATTTAAGATTGATGTATGGCTAAAACACAGTTAAGCCATAACTGTGGAAATGAACACAAACGGCAAACCACCCGAACATGGCACAATGTCAGCTCATGCTCCAAATCTTTTCTCAACCACCCAGAACTTGATGTTCTCCTGTAATTGCCCTTGTACCTGACTGCTCAGAATCCACAGCCTCCCAGCGCTGCCTTCGCTTTGTGAATTTTATTTAAAGCTAAACACTGGCAGCCACAGGAATCTTCACCGCACAGTGATCGAGTTAGGAGGTATTCCAGCAGTCTCGCAATTTAGCGAATACATATCAGTCATCCTGCTCGGAGTAGTCAAAGGGATTCAGCGATAACCTGGACAGGAGCAAGGGGAGATTTATGGAGAGTAGGAAAAAGTGTTTGTCCATAAGAGGCAAAAAGCCCAGAGGTTTTCGTGGAGGAAAAACGGGAAAACAGGAGCCCTGCTTTCCCGTTTTTCCTCCCCCAGAACAGGAGCCCTAATTTTCCTTGCCCCCATCAGCCTCTGCAGTGATGCCCGGGTTGCTACAATTGCAGCTCCTTGGCAATGGAAAGGGAGGACAGGATGGAGATGGCTCCACAGCTTTTCTGCCCTCGTGACCAAGCTAGAAGGCTGCACTGAACCTCACCGACAAGAAGGATCAGATACTTTCCTTTGCCTGTCAAATTATTTATTAACAGATTATCTTCAACAGTTTGTTCTATGATCAAGAGAGGGAAGCGAGATATTCATATATATATGAATATGAATGAGGGAAATCAAATCCCCCTCTCAGGTTTCATTTTGCTAAATTAGCTCCTCTAGGCCCCTCCTAAAAAAGATCTTCAATCTACTCTGCTTCGAGTCCTCCTCTGTACTTACCCCAGCTGAGGTTTTTTGCCTCTATATGGAGCAGACCAGAATTGTACATAGCATTTGAGATGAGATCTCACCAGAGTCTTATATAATACTCTCATACTCATATAGCTATACTGGAAATACCTTGCTTTACATAGCTTGATGTCTTATCACATACTGATTAAAGCATGCTTAAAACCCCTCTATTTTTCAATCACTAATGAGCATCCACTTTACAGCAGGCTTTATTATTATTAGTTCTCAAGTAAAGGACTTTTCACATCAACTCCCAGTTCTTTTTTTGCTCCCATCCTCAAGGTCATCCAGCCCTTCCCGTGTTCACCTTAATCCTCTGGAGCGCTGGTACCTTCCATCGCTCCTGTTCTGGATGCAGCAGAGCCAAGGCAGCATCACACCATTCCCTCCAGGAGAAAGGGATGTCCCAGTAGAGCCAGCTGTGCTACCTAGTCTCATAAAGCTGCAATTCCAGCCAAATCAGCACAAATTGCCATAAAACTTTAAAGCCTTGATGTGGCCCGAGACTTGAGAGCACCTCCAGGAACGTGCTGCGTTACCACTTGCTGTTGGCCCCCTCAAACTGGGCAGGGGGGATCAAAGGCAGGAGGCAGAGCTAAAAAACTGGTTAGCAGAGTGGAAAGATAGATTATCACTGCTAACCTACCATTTGTCAATCCAGAACCGTGCTGAAGACTGTAATTTTCTAGTCAATGCTTTACAAGCAAGGTCAGAGGGAACAAATACTTCAATAAAATGAAAAAAATCCAGGTATCAGCAGAACCACCCAGTCATGATCCTCAGAATCCAGAAAGAGGAAGGAGTTGTTTGTGCAACTAATGGGCCCAGGATAATGTCTTTCATGCCCATCAATGGAAATGTCATTTACAGACCCTCAATACCGAGCCTTAAGATGACAAACAGGAAGTCACAGGAAGGAGGGCAGCAAATGAATCCATGAAGAAAACACAGCTCTATGGTGCAAAATAAACAAACAAACTTCAGTTTTGCTACCAGAGACCAACTGCAGCACTGCCTGGATGCTTGGAGCTGTGCAGCAAATGCCAAGCTGTGAGCTGCAGCCAGGGAACACATAATTAATGTGATTAGGAGCACACAGAGCTAGCATGCTCTGCTGACTGAAAAGCCCAGTAGCATAATTACTGTTTTCTGTACTAGCTCTATGTCTGAACAAATCTCAAAGCCTGGTTAGTTTTAGACTGCTGTGTAAACGTCAATAAAAATCCCAGAAGTGCCAGCTCATCAGCATTCTCAGACACAGAAATGGTGAAAATATCACTGCATTTCCATGCTGTTAGCATCAGGCATAGAAGTCTCCATTCTTCAGCCTAACCTTAAGAGTTTGTAATAAGGTAACATCTCCCCCAAGTGAATGCTTATTATGAAAGCTAATTAATTGCTTTCCAGTAATGAGAAGTCTTTGGTGTTCAAAGAAAGCAAAATTCACTATGTAGGAATTAAACTGTTTATTGAAACAAAGCTCCCCCCACTTAAAGATCTCTTTATGATTAACATTACACATAAAACCAAAGAAACTGAACATACAAACATACAAAGTATATGTAGGCAAGAAATGTGCTAAAATCAGTCAAAACATAGTATTAATTGAACTGAAAACTAAAGCAATGCTTTGTAGTTGTCTGGATTTCCCTGGGGGATGGAGAGTCAATGCTTATCTGCTTTCCTCAGAAGAGACAATTTTGATTAATATCAGACCCATCTGACTCAGTCTATTAAACCCTGAAGGAAGGATATTCTTCAGATATGAGAGATATGTCTTTGATTAATAATTCTACCATATTGCCATTCCAAGCATTAACTGCATGGCACCTATGGAAAGGGAAAGCCTTTGAATTCTAGGGAAGAGAGCTAACTTGTGCTAATAGACCTGTTCTTTGTAGCCTGTATCTGAAGACTGTATGACAGTCTTCCTCCTACCTTTAGCCGAGGAAGTCCAAGTGCTAAGGTTGTCACTACTTCCTTGCAATGGTTATAGAATTTAGCTTTAGCTATATCAAGCAAGCAAAGTTACTTCAGACATTCTGAATGCTTTGCCTAAAGACACTGGCAATCTGTCTAGAAGAGTTCTCTTAAGCACTATCCTAGTTTAATTGACCACAGAAGTCTACAATATCGTGGCCATTTGAGTGCAATCTTACCTACCAGTAGCATATGTTCAGAGAAATGCATTAAATCACTCAGCCCACTACACTGGACTACCATGCATGGTGTAACTAATGCCAAATCGTCTCACACAGGGTGGGGAGAAATCAATTTAACATTATCTCTTGAGTTTTTCCTGGAAGTGGAAGCTTTGGCTTCAGATCAATCAGCACCAGCCCTCTCATCCAAGCTGAGCATTTTTCCTGATGCTTGTGATCAACCTCTTGCTGTATTCTCTGTAGTTCACAGGTTTGACATCCAGTGCTGTAGCCTTAATGCGAGATTCATCCTTTGAAAGAGAAAAACGGCATGTAAAGAAGAAAGCTCTGTGCTCCAGGCATTTGGTTTAACCTTCTTTTGCCCCAGTATTTCATTGCTCTTGGTATCAGGGTCACTGGGGACTTCAACTTGAGAGCATCTCCGTTGTTTTAATTTGAAATACCAGGTTGGATGAACTTGGGGGGGAGCATTAGAGAAGGACACTGGATCTGTCCTTCAACACTCTGGTGCTAACAACAGGCAGCACTTGCTCTGAGCACCTGCCTTCAGAAACTTCTCCCCACATGCAAGAGAGGAAGATATTTCTTATGGAAACAAGTCTAACCATGCAAGCCACATGCTGTGCTCTTTGCCTTTGGGGATACTTACATTGTAGGTCTCGAGTTTGACGCGGATCCTGAACTCATATGTGTTGAAGTTTGCATTTTGGAACACTTCCTCAAACGCCTGCTCGTTCTGCAAGGAGGACAAAGACAGACATTAGCTGCTGACACGCCGAGGTGCTGGTAGTACCAGAAGATCTCAGAAAAGTACATCTTTTGTAGATGTAGAGAAAATGTTGTGACTAACTGCATCACACTGGCAGGCCTGAATTTTCTATCAAATTTTAGATGCCAAAACTGTAACTTACAGTTTAAGAGAAAGCTGAATTCAAGTTAAAAACTGTTTTAGCTGGCTGAAACGAATAGCCCACAGTTGTGCTGACTCTGCAACCAAATAAACAGAATGAAAATAGTACAAGTCTGCATGAGATTCTCATACTGCTCAAGTGGCAATTTCTGATGGTCTGTTATGACCACAGCAGAGTTAACTATTTCCTTATTAACAGCCTGTTA